ATTTATCTAAAATGTTATTATCCATCTAACATAACAATTTTACTTTATGTCTTGTATTTAGGTTACCATTTACTTTTCCATATTATTGCACTGTTGTTGAACACTATATAAAGTAAAGTAAAGTAAAGTTTGTCCCACTATACGCCATGTAGGCGTTTGGGGTGAGTGGAGGTATAGCTCCTCTCTTCCTTGACCTCGGCACTAGATGGGGGTGAGTGGTCAGCATCACGCCCCGGCCGGCTTTACCCCCGGGAAAGGACCCTGGTACCCATTGTAGAGGAGGCTGGGTGGGCCCCAGAGCCGGTCAGGACGCAGAGGCTAAAGGAAATATCCTCTGCCCCCGTCGGGGATCGAACCCCGGTCGTCCAGCCCGTAGCTAGTCACTATACTGAGTGAGCTATCCCGGCACTATATAGCTATTAAAAACATTAGACATATGTTACACCACTTTATACTTTGTTAAATATAAAAGTCTGACACAAAATTAGTTTGAAATTAAAGGTTAAATAACAGGTAAGAATGGTTGGTGTTAAATTCCAATCAAAATGAAAGCACCTTTGATTAGAACTGTGTGGCTTACCATTGTATAATGTTATGTATAATTTAAAGTGTTAAAGCATCCTCACGTAACTCTGAGTAGATTGAAGTTGTCACTATCATATTGGTATTTGGTTGAGAATGGTGGCAACTGACATGTTTGTTGACATATACTATTATGGGAATAAGGGGTTTAAATCCTATTCTAGAGGGTTGGTGGCCATACTTTAACTTAAGGTTTAAGCAGTATATGCTACTCCAGTGCATGGTCAGCTTGACCATATATAAGAAGCAATATATGATTGATGAAGGTTAATAAATCAATTAATTATTATTTGTTGCCTTTGTCCCCATGTTGCCAGATGACTTACCTTCATGGCTGGAACTCTTCCAGTGGATTCATACTGCATTATACATAACAGCTTCCTTTAATGAGCATGAAGATGTTTTTGAAGAAATGAAATCGAAGGCACAAGACAATCTGACCAGATGGAACTTCACACCTCTTTATAAGGATCCTGCCATCTTTTCTGATAGCAGCCAAGTTATGTTATTCCTAAAGGAATTGTTCTTATGCAGGCTATATCATAATGCACCTGGTCAGATGGATAATAGTAATATAACTGTATGTATCCAAGTAATTTTTATTGTGTTTTGTTGTTCTGAATTACTAATGTGCATGTATCTGTATAAACTTTTAAGCTATTATAACTGATTTAGTGTAGTTGAATTAACATTCTGAATTTGCTTGTTCTGTTAATTATTGTGCTTCTCAGTGTACTAAAATAATATTGGAGCATTATCACTGTTATACGATATAGGAGGTATTATTTTTGTGTCAGAGCTAGGTAATGAGTTTCTGAAATTGAGTGTTTTGGAGAGGGGGGATAAAATCCATTGGTAATATCTTATATAAAACTTTCTAAGCGGTCAATGCATTTTGTAATTTTTACACTGTCTGATCAAAAGTATCCGGACACTCCTCTGCAAACGTAAACTCGAGCCTAGATATCACTACGACCGCCACTGCTGCTATAAAAGGAGGCAGAGGGCTTGATGTTGTTCAGTGCTACGCGATACCGACAGAATGGGTGGAGCAAGGGAGCTCAGTGACTTCGAACGTGGTATGGTTATTGGTTGCCACATCAGTAAGCAAGCCGCTTTCAGTGGTGTAAAGAGCGCCGCCACTGGGCTGTGGACGACTGGAGACACGTGATTTGGAGTGATGAATCACGCTATACCATGTGGCAGTCCGATAGGAGGGTTTGGGTGTGGCAAATGCTAGGTGAACGCTACATGCCGGCCTGTATAGTGCCCACAGTGAAATTCGGCGGAGGTGGGGTGACAGTGTGAGGGTGATTTTCATGGAAGGGACTTGGTCCTCTCGTAATACTACGGAGCACGTTAAAGGCGAAAGGATATATGGACATTTTGACCAGCTGCGTGTTGTCTATGGTAGAACACCAGTTCGGAGATGATAACTGTGTGTTTCAGCATGACAATGCTCCCTGCCATAAAGCAGGGTCTGTTCGTGAGTGGTTTGTGGACAATAAGGTTCAGGAAATGGACTGGCCAGCCCAGAGCCCCGATCTCAATCCTATTGAACACCTCTGGGATGAACTAGAAAGGCGACTGCACGCCAGACCCCAACGACCCACAACACTAACTACGCTTGCTATAGCGTTGCAGGAAGAATGGTTGGCAATTCCCCCGGCGACGTTCCAACACCTGGTAGACAGTCTCCCCCGCAGAGTTAGAGCTGTAATAAATGCCAAGGGTGGTCCCACTACTGGGCAGTAAATCCAAGGGACACTTAGAGGACAGTTTCGCGTAGGTGTCCGGATACTTTTGATCAGGTAGTGTATACCCCAACAATGGCTGATATTCTAATGAAAGCAGGGATGTCTTCTCTGACATTTGTGTGTGCTGTTTGATATTGTTCCTACACATAACTTAGTAGTCTGTGATAGTGTACCATAATGAGTTATTGACTCAGTTTTATCCTTGCTGTCAGATAAAAGTCTTATAATTTACAGATGCCTTTATTTTATGATGAATTGTCAAGTTGGTTTTACCCTTGATATAAGATAAAAGTCTTCTAAGTTAATAGAACAAGATCTTTAATAAAGAGTTGGTACTTTTTATGTGAACCTTAAGATCTGAAGTTCCATTTTAATGTTATTCTCCCAGCTATGCGTAGGACTTTTAAATGATCTATTTCTATGATGTCTCCTTCCTGAACTTTTGTCTGCATTTCTTCCGACACATGCCACATATCTCATCTATATTTTTTTAATGACCCTAGTAAGATTAATTAATATATGAGGATAATTTCTGTTGATTGATTGAATAAGATGAAGATTGTTTAAAATTTGTAACTTAGTGTCTCATTTTCTTTCTACAAAAGTCACTGAATACTGTTTACATAAATTAACCATTTAAATATATTGTCTGTTATCTTCTCCTTTAATACTCTTTGCCAGGTCTTTAAATGATTACAGAATTTTTATCCATGTTGAATATATGTTATAGTGCAGGATGTGGACATGGTCCTCAGAATTAATCTTGTTGTAATGTTGTTTTATTACTAGGAATTGTGTGGACCATAGGATAGTGTTCTTCATTCTCTTGTGCATGGTAACTTTACAATTGTACTTACTTATGGGGTGGCATGAAAGTTTCTAATACAGAACTGAATTATAAATTAAGCAGCTCTTTGTTTACCAGCATAACTTTCATATTATTCTCTCCTGTTCACAGCTGCAACTTGAAGGACTTGCAAAACAGTTACAACAACAACATCATGATCTGGCATTAGTAAGACTGTGGTGTTCTTTAAATTCCTGGGCTCTGTCAATGCCAGATGATTCACAGTCATCCACGTTGCTGTCAGAAACTAAACGTGTTGCCTACGATTCCATATGTGCCCTTCTTTACAAAGTGATTATTGCACGACGATTTGATGTACAATTAGGCCTTGCGCTTTTATTTGTCCTTGGCATTGATGCTGCTAAGCAGTGGCTCCTTCATTCTTTGGAAACCTTCAAGCAAGATTTTCAAAAACTCAGTTCTGTATCCTGCTTGGGAGTGCTGTTCTGCAATTATTGCAAACTGGACAACAAGCCTTTTCATTTTATTCACACAAGATGCATATGGGCTAAAAGACTTGCTGAGTATGGAATACATTGTACTCAGATACTTACATCAAACACTGCACAGAACATGGAAATATTACAATCACTGATGAAGTTGAAACATGTGGATATTTTATTGATATTGGAATATTGCTCTGACTTTGAACTGGAGCGTCAGGAATGCTTACTGATGTATTTGGAAACTATTCTGATGACCTGGGAACCAGAATTTGAGATTGAGAAAACTGTAGATGGAGGAGAAGTGATGAATGTTCTGAACACAGACACTGAAGTTGCAAGGAGGTGCCAAGATATAATAAAATTAATTGAAAATAAGGAACGTCTGGTCAAGCATCTAACTTCGATATTTAAGCGTCTCAACTACTACAATTATGAGATTTATATATACATTATTAATCTTCTTGAACAACTCCTTCCATCCCATAATTTCATCAGCAAGAAATTTCTTCTCATGTTTCTGAGGAAATATAGAAGGGTTCAGGGACCTAAACAAGAAGAACGGGATAAATGGCTTCATTTCCCTCATTCACTTACCCTGCCAGAAATTTCACAGTGGCGCCTCCCATTTTTGCCATTGATTGGGTCTAAACCATTGCTTGTGTTGACACCAGAGTTAAACCTTAAGACCTACAAGCAATGGATTGAGTTGTCAGCTGGACTTGGCATTGATACAAATAATATATGTGTTGTTACAGTTCAACAGACAATTCAAGCCAGGACAACTTCTACTGATGAGTGGAGGATCAGTTCACAAGATGCTTTACTTTTGAATGAACTAGAGAAGTGTGTGGATAACATAAGTGACTTACAAACTGCAAGTGCATGTATGTACTTTGTAATGAATCGCATGCCCCCAGGTGCCGACCAGGTAGCTGCAGCAAGATTGTGTTACACATACACGCAAAAGTGGGTCAAGAACAATGGGGATGCCACTGCAAAAGAAAAGCTGAATGATGTGAAACATAAGTATTTATGCTTGGCAACAACTCATATATTGCATCAGTATGATTTGAACAAACCAAATTACTTGCAGCTTGTTCCCAAACCATTAAAGCTTATGTCAGCTCTGTACCAAGATTCCAGTATCATTGCCAGGGGTGACGGACACATTGTATGTTTTCCAGGTAAGTTATGCGATTTTGTATCAAGTATGTGATTAAAACATTTGGGAGGAAATGGAAATTCAGACAAAATATTGATATCTAATATACTTTTGTAGTTTGTCCAGGCTGGCATAGTTTAATGCATGAATAGTCATATTTCATCTGCTGAAGTTCATATTTTGATTAAATTTAATGTAAAATTAAAATAATCATGTGTACATTGATTTGTTACTGAAAATATCCTCTGCATTACCTGTACATTATGCAGCTTCAGATATACTTTAAAACTCTCACTAACTACAGGCTGTGTATTGTGATAGAATCTGTTAGGCCTAGGGCATAACACTTCCTTTTTACATGCTGTAATAGCTTTATGTGGAACTCCCATGTAACAAACATCCAGAGTTTGAGGTTTTATTGTAGTTTTATGGTAAATTTTTGTTTTTGGTGTGCAGACATAAATGGTGCTGTAGAAGATTTGGCATCTTTGCATGAAGAGAACTACATCAAATTCTGTCTAGATCAGCTTAACAAATGGCTACAACCAAAAGGTCTTCAGCCTGGTCTACTGGAAGACACGTGTGGCTTAACAAGACTACTCCAGAATAACAAAGAAACTGATGACAGTATTGAAGACGATCTTCTCAGGTATAAAAATTATAATTCCTCCTTGAAAAATGTTAATGTTTTCACAATTTTATGAAGGAAATGATGTGTGTTCATCATATGTATGTATTTTCTGTACCTGTGAAGCCTTTGTAATAATATGCAATTGAAAAGTTCACACTTCAGATGACTTGCCCATGTTCAGAGCAGTGTGATGACAGTACTGAAAGGATTTTTTATAAATTTATCTATCAGTGTTTGCACATATGTCAAAGTTTCTAGATTGTGTGTATAAAGTCAGAAGGTGAGTACTTTGAAGGTCAGTATGCACACTAATGGTAGGTAAGCTTTTTATAAGATGAGTGTTAGTAGGATTTCAGATCTTTACTGCAGCAAGTATGAAGATTGCTGTCTTCTGGGTTTTACCACCATGTAGCTTGGCACAAGTTTACTAACATTTCAGAGGTACTTGCTCCCTACATCATTGGGGCATTGTAGAACTTATACCAGGCTACATGGCACTACAACCCTGAAGGCAGCCATCTTCAGGTCGAGTCCTGTTTAATTGTCAAACCTTTTAGGATAACTTGTAAGGAACATCAGTCTCTGGATTTGATGAAATTTTTTTTTTAGTAGAATTAAAATTATCATTGCAGAACATTCAGTCAAGCAGTACTGCTACTGTACTAAAGACCTAAATCCACTTTCTTAAATATTTGCAAAACCTGAAAGTGTTACAGACAATATTTTAGCAAAATTGTGTATGATATTTCACTTGTAATAAGCCATGAAAAATTTGGTAGTATTTTGAGTATAAGAAGTTAAAAATGTTAAGTGAATGTGTTTACATAATTATTTTGATTTATTTTCTCAGAGCATGTTATATCTTGAAGTGTAGAGAGGGAAGCAGTCTTGTAAACTATGTGGTGAAGCTTGCATTTCAACTTGGCCTGGGTGAAGAATGTCCTGTGGCAGTTCAGTTGAGGGCTTTGAAGTGCCTGATGGCTGTATCTTGCACTGACATGCTGGAAGAGCTCACTGGTAGAAACATCATTGACATCAGGTAATGTTTTCTCATGCTACATTGTCAAACCCTTTCTGTTTTGAACAATATAATCACAGTTATGTTTAAGTGTAGGGTCAGGGGGCCTTGCTGCAGTTTAATACAAGTATGACAATCAAATGTTTGTTAAATTCAGATTTCATATGTTTTTATTCTTAGTTATTATGTTGTTTTTTCCCCTATAAACAGGAATCGTGTTTATTTCCAAGAGAAGATACAGTGGAATTCTTTATGTACACTTTCTTGTGGTTTGATGAAAAATGGTATAAATTGTGTGAAATGTAAAAATCATAAGCTCAGCAAGTAATATAGGTAAATTATTAAGCAATGTATGAAAACTTTTATGTTGTATTACAATGTAATTCCCAGAAATTAAAGTATATATAGTGTCAAAGCACAAGCTGAATTAAATTTTCCAAAGCTACGAAAGATTTACACATTGTACTGACGAATATGTCGACAGGAAGAGAGGTGGCAGATTTTAACATCCTTCACTGTGTTTCAAGAGGGAGTGATTGAAGGTATGTATTAGTCAACTCAATTCCTGTATCTGAATTACAGATATTGTAATACAGTTTTATTTTCAGGACTGTTAGGACTGCTCCTGGAAACACTGGTATCAGCGTGTTACAGAATGTCTATAATTGTATTGTAGCTATACACAATACTTAATTTGCAATATTTCAGACAAATGCTGAATAGTCTTCAGTATGCAAGTGAACTGGAGATGCTTGGATATAGCTATTCAGTGTCTAGTTTTGAATCATGCAACAAATTGGAGTTGGTTAAGGGAATATGGAGAACACAGAGCAACAATCCACAAGCCCTTATTGTTATTGCTCGCTTGTGTGTGGAGTTCAGCATTCAGCAGCACAACATTTGGACATTACTTCTTAAACAAATGACTAAATATTCCATGGTGAGTACACATTTTTAGTTGTAGGTCTGCAGACATTCATAAATTGTATCAGAATTGCTCATTGTTCCACAACACCTTTTGAATGGTTCCAGAGTAAGTTTGGTTGTACAAGTAGAACATGAAGTACACTGAGGATGGCTGAAGAGGCTGAAATATATTCCTAATGAAAGATAAAGAATGTGATAAGTGTGTGAATAATTTTGTTTTAAAACTAAAACCTGTGTAGTACAGTATTGATGCCACATGTCTTATGGAATGTTTATTTTCAGGTTCGTGAATTAGAAGTATTGATGCTACATGTGACAGACCTAGGCCACACTCTGAGTAGCAAAGAATATGTAGGAGCATGGGAATCAGTGCTTTTCACACCATTCCTGAAAGGTAGAGCAAAAGGCATTAGCATTTTGGTATACCAGCTGTGACATGTAAGCCAAATTTTGCTGACAAAAATCTGGTTGACATTTTACATCTGCTGCTGGAACACGGTGTATATTTTCATGAAGCTAGTTATGAATAATTTCATTAGCTGAAAGCATATAGATTTATCTGATAAGATATTTTTATATAAACATGGGATTGAAACATACATTAACACTCATTCTCTACACACACACACATATGTGTGTACACTCATGCAAACTCTCTCTTTTACCATTTAAAATTTGTTTTGTGAAGCACACTTTATTAAAATCATAATTGAAGGTAAACCTTAAATGAAGACAGTTTGAAAGGAGAGAGTTTAATTTGAATTATAAAAACTGAACTGTAAGTTCATGAAAAACTGAAATGTTGGAATATTTTATATGGATATAATAATACTATTTTCAATATTGGATGATGTTAATAAATAAAAGTCTGTGTATGTATATGTTAACCTGGGTAAGTGAAATGCTAAATTTATGTATATTAGTATGAAAAGTGCCCTGACCTTACATTCGGCCTGAGGCCTCGATACACCTTTATTTGTGCCCATATAGGTAGCCAATCACTCTGTGTGCATATTACATTACATTGTTCATCGATATTGAAGAAAGTTATAATTAAAATATGTAAAATTGCTGTGCTTGCACATTTGTGTATTTATCTGTGTTATGATATAGCCGGACAGGATATAGAGTTATACGAATTGTGTGAAATGGTGATTTTTTAGACAGTATGCTTAAGTAATGTCTTTTTCTCCCCCAGGATGTGTTTTAATGTGGTAGATATGTTCATGTTACTATTTCAGGTGAAAAAGAAGATGCATGCATTCACAGTTTAATACTGCTTCAGTCATGTCCAATTCTGCGCAGAATTAACTTGAATGTTATCATTGAACACAGCATACAACTGCACTGGCCCCATTTGGCAGCGGCACTTTTACCCTTATTGGAAAAGGATGCATTTTATCAACAGAAGGAGGTATGAAATGCTCCCTAATCTGCCATTTGTTCTCTTCAAATATTGTTCAAGACAGTTTTTGAACAGCTGAGTGACTGTTAGCTTCTCAAGAAGGATTCTGTTTTATGGAATTAGTGTATACAAAAAATATATATATATTTAATGCTTTGCAAATTAGACAACACAGTTTTAGTTTCATAAGTGAATAATGGCAAGCATTTCCTCCAATGTTTTTATTAACAATGTGAACATATACCAAAAATAACATTGTGTATTTTGAAATGACAAATCTGGGATCCCTGTGTTATATTTATGCAAATGTGGTTGTATTAACCATGCATATTTTGCTTCTTTCAGAAGATTGTCAGTGTGAGGGGTGCAGTGGAGCTCATCCAAAATCTACAGGAGCTTGCAAGTAAAGGTGTTCTAATAGCAGAAAAGGTGCGAATATTTGAAAAGTATAAAAAATTGTGTAAAATGTAATCTGGATAGCAGAGAAAGTGTAAAACACATATGAAAATAAGGGTTCCTGTGCGCTGATGACATGATATGTGATCAGCATTTAATTTTGTCAATTAGTAGATTCATAAGATGATAATGTTGCGTCATATTGTGATGATTATAATTTGTTAATTTTAACCGTCTAATCACAATAAAATATTTTATTAAATACTAAAATATTAAAATATTATTACACATTTAACATTTAATATTTAAAATATATGTTAAAATGATGCTCTTTCTATTGAAATTTTCGATTTAAAATTAGAGCATCACTTTTTCCACGACATGTTTCAGTTTTCAATGAACCATCTTCAGGTGTATAGTTGATATAAACTCAAATGTAGTATCTTAAATGCAATCCTTCGTCAGATGTCCATTAAATATCATAAAGTTATCTTCTTCCAGATCAATTGTACTTTATTATCACATTCAATATTGTTTCGTAGTTGTAAGTCGCGTATAGCGTGATCTTGTGTGGGTGAAATGTTTTGTAGTGGTTTTATATCGGTCAGATATGAAGAGAGGAGGAGGTCCGTCTGGAAGTAATGTTGTGTTGGAACATTACTTCCAGACGGACCTGTTAAATGATCACTGTGATTTAAGACTCGATGCCAGAAAACAAATCTTATTTAATCTTAAGTAGGTTTGTATTCTGAGGGTTTTCCATTAGTTGTAACCTATGTAAGCTTATGGTACATTTTGCCATGTCACTGATATTGAATAGAAAAATAAGGAAAGAGCTGTATTGATAGTTTGTCACAAATAGAATTATAAAGCTATAGGTTGTTTTAAAAACACTGTTATATGCCAATAATAAATTATATGGATAGGATTTAATAAATAAGTATAAATTGAAGTGGGGTGTTAGAATGCTAAAGTTAAGAGTATGGGTTAAAAATAAATACTATCTTTTACAGAACTCAAGGATTCATTATCATGTTTGCAAATCCCATCATATATAAATCACAACCTTGTTAGTATCTGGCCCATGCATTCTGATAGAGTGCTCCAGGGAATATAGCACCAATGCTAGACATGCTGTCACGTGTGTGGAGTAGTAAATTTGAACCATATGTTCCACCTCTGCATAATTTTTTCACACCTTTACACCATGTATTGGCAGTGAAATTTTTATGTTCAGTCATAATGAGATGGGCTTTGTTAACAAGCAAAATTTCAGGTGGGGTTTCAGCCTGGCAAACCAGACCATTCCTTTGTTTGTTAGTCTGCTGGTCATTTACATAACCAGCTACCAGTTTATGCAGTATACAAATGAACCATTAATTGAGCTGTAAGCACATATTAAGAATAAAAATATGTTCTTGGTTACTCATACACTTTTTTTCCTTCAGGCAATTGAAGTTCTGCAACCTGTGCAACCGGGCATTAACCATTGACTTCAGCAGATAACTAATTTATACCAGTACTACAAAATAATGTTCTTAAAGCAACATGTAACTTTGAGAAATGGCACCAAGAAGTTGCAATTCAAATTAAATCTAATATTTCATAGTTTCTTTTTGAGCATTATTCAAACTGAGGAGAAGAAAATTTATCCAAAAGTCTCATGGTCTATACTTTTCTGAATTGCTTGTGTCTAAACTTTCCGCAAGCTGTTGTTCTGGTAACACATCTGATTATTTTATACTAGTAGTGACTACATTTTCCTTCAACTTGCAAAGTAACACAGTTTTTAGGGTCGTTAGCAGTGTGTTATATGGCACTGTGATGCACAGTATTTTGGATCATGCTAAGGATTAATACTTTCATGTATGCATATTGGCAGAAATAGAAGCTGTGGTGGTATCAAATGTTGTGGTTTTCAGTATTTGTAATTGCTTCTGCTTTTTTAATATTACTGGAGTTTATTACTAAATAAAAACTATTAACACCTTTTAGTAATAATATTTATAACATTATGCAATATTTATTATATTTGCTATTATCTTAAATAGCAATCTAAACTTCATCCACTGCATATACCAAGTAGGATAGGAATAACAAGTCTTTCTGATAATGGAGTTTTGACAGTCAGCCATCCAATAATAATTTAAATTATTCGTCAGTGGCCATGTTCGTATAATTTGCAGTGGGTTTTTAAATAAAAATGCCAGTCAGGATAGAGTCCTGCTTCTTTGTAGCCAGCTGCATTTTGGAACTAAGGCATCAGTACCAGTATATGAGTATGTATAATACTGACCAGAGTAAGTGAAAAGAGCAAGGGAATTTCTAGCATATGCTGTAAAATTACAAGAGAACAGACATTTTGAAACATATATTAGGCTTGGTAATAGGAATTTTTAACAACATTGTTACAGGTGCTGGCAGAAATGCATGGCAGTGGATGAGAAATACTTAAAAGGCAGTGTGCTGTAAAAAGCTAAAATGAACAAAAGTGAAACTTTTTGACTTTACTACATACTTAAATGGACATTTATTTTGAAATTTGAAATATTTAAATAATCTCTTGAAGTAGGTTTTATTTGTATTTCTCTATGTATGCCAGGAAAAGTATTAAATAACAATACAGTAGCATTTTTAGTTTCTGGAACTTACACATATTGTTTAATTCAGCCAAAGTGCATATTATTCATTAATCCATTTTCTTGATGTCTTCTGATTACTTGTTATCAAGTCTGTTGAGAAATCCATTATCCCCTGCTACATACACCTGCCCTTTAGATCCAATGCAAATAGAATTGATACAAAAACCTACTTCACATGTGCTCACACACTCCAATGTGTCCAGGTTCCACTGTTTTATCTTCCCATCATAGCCACCACTGAATAAAGTAGAATCTTCAAAACCACATACAGCATTCAGAATCAGCTCATGTGCCTGTACATTTAAAGATGAAAAGAAATTCAGAAGGTTTCCAGTTCCAACAGAAACGCTGTTCATAATCATACCAATAAAGTAGGAACAACTGACATGCTAGTTGACTGGAAACCAACATGTCATTATCAAGTATTAACTGAAGAGAAGTTGGATGAAATTGGAGCTTGGCTTGTACAATCACTTCTTATGTCTCTTACATGCCTTAAAGAAGAAACTGGAACTATGGCCTTACAACATGAGAGTTGTGCATTCACTGCAGGATATGATTCAGTAGCCAGACTTATTTTCTGTAACTGGCATCTGGGGATATTTAAAAACTAAAGTCTGTCAAAGCAACAGAAATAATTTATTTTGAAGTGATCTGTACATCCAGAGAATAACTGCAAGTCAGAATTTGTTTAGAAGTAATGGGGAATGTTTCTGATCCAATGAGAAACATTTTTTGCATCTATTGTAATTCATTATTGCCACAGCCAACTGACTAGGAAAAAGTGGAAAGGCCCTTCTCTGCACTTCATATATACAGACACTGATGCACACAAACCAGCACAATTTAATATTTTTGAACTTAAGAAATGAGGTTGGTGTTTATAAAATATCTTAAAATACCCACCGATACAGAAACCTATTACATTACACCATTACCAATACACAGCACTATTGTCTTCCTTGATGATTTTTTTTAACTTGATGCCTTCAATTATTTGCACACATTATAGTGGAACTTATCTTTTTTGTTCTGATCTGTCACTAGAATTATAAATGTAAAATTGTGTCTTATACTCTCATATTTTGGTGATAATTTATGTGTAAAATTTTGGCATTTAAGGAGCTAAGGTAGCATACACTTAAAAATTAAAAAATACAATTGTATCTTTGTATGTATGTGTACTATAAGATTGAATGAATATGAGTTAAAGACCAACCTATGGAATTAAGTATGTAAACAATGTAAAATTGTTTTTAGATTTGGTATATTCACATGTTCATTTTTCATTAGTATTTAACATGGATACGCTGAAATCATATGAGTAAGAGAAGTGACATCATTTTGTTTCATTATTTATAGACCCACCTGTATCTGACCAAGTTTTTTGAAGTTGCTTGCTTTGCTGTTGTCATGAATGCAGATATTGTTGCCTGATCGAGTTGCAAAACATAACTTATTTCCAACAATACATAATGGGCTGCTTCCTTCCAGAGTAATTCGTGTTACATATCTTCCTCTGTCACCTATAAGAAATGAGCAAATAAACTGATACATACTACAAGATTAATTAACTTTGAGATATGTACATACAGCTGTAGTTTAATACACACTTAGCAGAATGAATCACTACTTAACTATTTGGTAAAAACAGAATGAATAGATCTTGATTAAGGCTGCTGCAAATTATAATTTGACAACAGTGTAAGAATCCTGTTCATTGCCATTTAATTTTCCACTCTGAATAATAGCCTTCTTCTTCTTCTTCTTATAGCGTTATAACCCTGTGTGGGTCTTAGCTTGTTTGATGAATTTTTTCCATTCTGTCCTATCATCCACAATTCTTCTCCATCCCCTTACTCCCATCGTCCTCACATCCTCCTCCACGTCGTCTATCCATCGTTTCCGTGGTCTCCCTCTCATCCTTCTTCCCATCGGTCTCCATTCCATCACTCTTCTAGTTATCATGTTTCCCTCCATTCTTGTATTATAATACTAGTAGGCAAGAAAGTCGTCCTTGATACTCGAACCATGGTTTCTATTCCGTCGCATGTCTATAGAAGTCTAGATCTTGAAAATCAGGTATCGCCTTATTACTTTGACTAGCTTACACGTACAACGCATGTGTCGGAGAAGTTGCCTAGACAACAAGGCGTTTCGTTGTTGGTTGCACTTCAGACTGTGGAGTTACTACATATGAATTGGAGGTTCTCTCGGCTGTGAAAATGTCGATGTTGGCCTTCTAGAAGACATGGATGATAAGTCGCTGACAGGAGGGTGATTCTCAAGGTTAGACGTTCACTGTAAACATGTTGAATGTCTGAATCTGAAATGAATAAATGATATTACATGATGGAGAACATTGCTTAACTAGGAACTCCGTGATCTTTAGTGTACTCAGGACACTCAGAGTTAGACTGGGCTGAACACGTGTTTGGATGTGACACACAATAGATGCAAGCAGAATTTTTGTTCGAAACTTCTAGAAGGCGGCCACTTGGAGCACCGAGACTGAGATGAAAGATTAACAGTAATATGGGGCCTAGAGAAACAGGTTGTGGGAACAGGCAGGTGGGCGGAGCTGCCTTAGCATCATGTCGAATATCGAGCTTTGGTACTGGTTTCGTTTAACCTTTACACCTACGTTCTGTTACGAGAGCGATGATTAGTTAGTTGTCATTTAGTGGTTAGTTAGTTAAATCTCTTGTTGCTTAGAAGGCTACAATGCTACTCTGCCTTGGTGATGAACCCTTAAATTGTTCATTTTTTTAACTTAACAAAGTATAAAGTATGGAAAGTTGTATGCCATATGAGATTTTAAATTCCCACACCGCTGAAAATTTAGGTTGTGATTCTGGTTGCCACACCGTATTGTCATGCGAGTAGTTACCTAAATTTCGGAGGAATATCCTTATCCTCAGGGTATAAGTTTACATATTTTCCAGATATGATATTAGTGATTTTATATACTTTATTGGACTCCATATTTGTCATTATGCAGATTTGTCTTATTTAACACCTTTTGAGCTAGAAATATGATACAGCGTCTGGTGGTATGGAAGCTGCAGTGGCCATTTTGAAAGTACTTTTCCAGCATTTCGCTGAGCATCTGAAGAAAAACCGCGTACAGCCTCAGATTGGGAAGTCTGAGGACTGAGAATCTAACCCCGGGTCTATCAGTAGTGCCAACTACCCGACGGCGGCGTTTGGCAAATTCTGTTGTCGGCAGAGCTGATTAGTAAGTAGTCAGTAATCTTATCTCTGAGTGACAGACATGGACCCTTCGTCTTGTTTGGTCTCAGTTTCAGCATCTCGTATGTGCTTGTGTCTGCAGGTACGACTACGAGGTGCTTCTGCAGAACTCGACGTTCTGCCTCGTGCCCCGAGGACGTCGCCTTGGCTCCTTCCGGTTTCTAGAGGCGCTGCAGGCGGGGTGTGTGCCGGTGCTGCTATCTAACGGCTGGGCCCTTCCCTTTGCCCAAGTCATCGAATGGAACAAAGCCGTTATTTGGGCCGACGAACGGCTTCTTTTGCAGGTGAGTTTAATTAAAAGTAAGGCGAAGGCCAACTCACCTCGTGTTTGCGTTCACACCTTTATTTCGCCCTTTACTTTTCTTTCTTTCTACTTTTATTTTCTTGTTTCTTTCAGATTAGGGCGTGCACCAGTTTTTGAAATTGATTTTTTCCCGTTATCGTGGTATTAATTTACTGCAGAAACAAAATACTCTTAGATGATTTTAAAAAGTTGAAAACTGCATACTAGTTTTGTCATTTTCTTCAGTATAATGCGATGGGTTAGTAAGCACTACAGTCCGCTGTGACTATGCAAGAGTCTGCGCAGGTCACGTCATGTTGTAACCTGCTCCTGCCAGTATGTCAGTTGTTGTTCGAGAGTTGATGTGCAAGAGTGTTCATTGTCGAACACTAGCTGATATCTAGCTCTTACTTAACTTCCCAGAATGAGCTAAGGGATACATTCCCAGGTATGGGTTGCGTGACTTTTTGATCACCGTGTAGATCTGTCGTTTCTGGGCGTAGAGTAAAAGCTGTCTCCCTCTGGAATTGTGCCACTTTTTGAAGCGTACTTACACACCACTCCACCCACTTTTCTTAGGCACGTCGGCTTAATAACACCGAGACTTCGATTCATCATTTCGCTGGAAGCTCTGAAACAGCGAAGTGGGGGTTGCGGGGTGAAGAGGTTTGTGGTTGGTGGTAGAGGACAATTTTGAGGGAAATTTGTGAGGTTAGGTTGGTCGGGTAAATGGGTTTGAGGGTTATAGAAAATCGATACAGGGCAATGTTATGCATGTATTGTGTGCACTTATCATTCTTTATGGCCAACGGATTTGTGTCTAAGCAAAACTAAATAGAGAACCTTCGGAGTTGGACGTGCTGCCTTCATATGTGCAGGCATTGTGATTGTGGTAGTTTCAAGTCTTCCCTGCTTGCTTTCTGTTGCCAAAACATTTCGGTACTACGAAGATGTGGTGAGTACAACCGAAATTAGATCCGACTGGAATCTAAGCGATTTCTAATGTAAAGTTTTTCGCATTGTTCATATACTTGAGATGTTTCTTCTTTAGCGCCAGAACCAAGACCGGGCAAAGCTTCTCGGTTCAGACAGACTGTCATATTCCCTTCCGGAGTTCCGTTATACCACAGCGCCTCTTCCTTTAGAAGGGGACCCAGAAAACAAGTCCAAATATTCATCCTCTATACGGGATTCGAACCCGTGATGTGAGTCTTGTGACTGCACACTGCGGCCAGTGATGCGGGCAAAGTGCCATGGACTCTTTGCTTGAAAGCATGCCAGGAGCTTAAGTTTCAATCAGGAAACTGTGTTTAAATCTGAATTTCCATTGTACGCCAAGCTCATCGCCACGAGGGAGCAGAGTAAACTTACAATACAGACTTGGTTTATCCGAAGGAAAAGTATCGTTAAATCTTAGGTTGGTGAAGTGAAGGATCGCTCTGTTTGAAATTGTAGGCAAAACTTTAAAATACTTTTTCTGACATACCCATGAATCTCTGATTGGTTGTTAGGTTTTGTTCTTTATAAACTTTCGCTGGCCTGTCCATGGACGTGGATCTAAATGAGGCTATTTATAGGTCACCGCGATTCAGAGAGCGTCACCAAACAGAAATTCGGTAATTAAAAATTTGTTAGATATGTTTGTGATTATTTAGAAACATAAAGTTAACTTTACTTAACCTAAAAATCGCTCACTGTCTATTGGTCTTCCTTGGTTGTTAAAACAACGTATTTTTAACCGTACAGGCGACTCGACATTCTGATACAAAATTTCAAGCACTATAAATGTGAATAGTGTCCTGAATATATACATTAGGTGCCTCAAATTCTGAGTCTCCGTTAGGAATCTCTGTCAGGGCTAATATTGTTTTATTGTTTGCGTTTACTGTACTTTCGTGTCAACTCTGGTAGGCACCTATTAGACGACGCTGAATATCGGCCCAGAAAACCACAAACACAATATATTCATTAATATTGCCTTCATTTTCATTGGCAATTTTGAACTGGTTTTTTCAGGTGCCCGACATCGTACGGTCAGTAAGTGCGACTTATCCTTGTTCCTAGCTAATGTTCGTCTTCGTGAGGACAGTCCGGCTTCATTCATCAAATTATTCTCAACTTTATTCTTTTTTACGATGCAAGGTTGTTAGCCTTGCGACCAACCCCCAACCTGGAGGACCAGGGTACCCGTCTTAGTCTGACCTCTCCCCCTCGACCAATCTGGCTAGGGAGGCCCTACCAGTAGCAATGCTACCGCCAGCATAGCTCTTGGGGTCACTGAGGTACTCAAGCCCCACCACCACGACAAGGTGCAGGTACCATTAAGTGGGGCTGAATAATAGCCATTCCCATAAATTCAAATGCTCAGCTCTGTAACCCATGAGAATTGGACACATGTTTATACAAAATTTTAAACTTAGAATTACTTAATTAACAGTCTTGTGCTGAAGTTTGGCCATATTTCCTTGGACTTCATGTGTATAAATTTATGTAATACATTCTTAAAACAGTTACTGTATGAACACAAGTATTGAGGCTTTTACAGTGATACAAAAGTAACATGCAACCTTCTGGGTTTTAATGAGTTCTTCTGAAAAAAAGATATTTCACAGGATCCTAGCAGTTGTTTATACTCATAAGATGGAAACAGAAGATTCCTCCAAGAGGTTGGGCATTTCTTTCAATACAATGAGATTCTGCAGAGGACTCCAAACTATATATGAACAAGAAAATGTTAATAAAAATACCCACCAGGCAAGAGCTCGTTGATGCACACATCCCTGTCTCTCACAGTATATATAAATTTGTCAGCAACTGAGAAATCACGTATTTCTTCCACCATATTAAATTGACAAATTAGTGTGTCATTTTCCCAAAAAGACAGCTGAAATTAAAATATTTTAACATACTTATTGGCATAATGAACTTTTTCTCCCATATTTTGCATCCAAAAACATTAGATCTAGTCATATAAAATTACAGACATTATGGGTGTAAATCTTTAGTCCAACATGACTGTGATAACCTTAACAGTTTTTACTCAAAACTCTTGATGTCTCACACACAGATTGAAACCACAATACAGCACTCCTTTGGGGGAGGGAGTTAGATTGTTGGGGTCAGTGGTATAAATTTCAACATTTCAAATTCAGGCAATTACAGAAAATTAACCTGCTACTGGCAGGAGCATTGATTTGGAAAGGGAAACATTACTGAGAATAGGCAGTAGCACTGTTTTGATGTTTGACAGGACTAGTGAACTCTTCCATAATGAAAGTGTTTTCTGCACATATTTCTCGCATAGATAACATGCTATATATCAACAATTTCTCCGTTCCATGGGGTAGACACATGAGACCAGTGCTGTATTGGAGTTATTCTCAGAAATAGGTGAGTGGGGATGGGGGGGGTTAAATCCAGAGAGCATGATCACAATCTCCCACATTTGTAGACAAGGTATGCCACATACTGGATCATAAAATTTAATACAGTATAACCTCTCTAAGTTGGACACTTGGGGTTCCACGAAAATGTGTCCAACTAACAGAGGTGTCCAAGATAGTGGGAAAGAGAAAAATCAGATTGTGGTCTACTTACACTAATTACTATAGGCTTACTTGAATTAAGAATTAATGACAATAGTATTTATAATAATCTTTTGAAGCCCATTCCCATGCATTGCACCAACCTCAATAACATTTTCTAAAGTTTATTCCACCAATTTTCGCTTCCCCATCGCAAAAAAGAAAAATGACATTTCTGTTAACACAGTCTGAACTCAACTGCAAGCGCAGTCTGTCTTCTGCAATACTGTAGTCCAGTTAAGGGTTCAGCAAAAGAATAGTTAAACACTTGTAATGCATTCCAATGATGGGTTCAATGTCCATAATATAATCCTCCAGAGAGGAGGCATTCATTAGTCAGAAATTCAAAATAACAAAATATGTAACTGAAAAGTTTCTCTGAAAAGCATCGAAGCTAAGTGCATGAACCTGTCCAACTTACAACAAAAGGGGGGTTCAAGTTCCAGGATAAAGGGGTGTCCAAGATACAGGGCATTGTGGACATGTAAAATTATAGGATATTCGCCGGTTCCAATCAAAAGTGTCCAATATAAAGGGGTGTCCAACTTGAGGGTTTTTACTGTAGTTGGTATTTAAAAATGCTTTTATTTTATTCACACCCAAATGAATCAGTTTGTACTTTGCAAAGCTTTCTGAAATTAGGTTGCATTTATCTATTTTAATAAAACAATATTTAATGTAACGTACAATGCCTTTGTCATTTCCTGAATATAGTCTTCCATCAATAACATAAAGACGTAAGATTTCTTCTTCAGATGACTGTAATAATGTTTTCATATGTTTCAGTGAGTCAATACTCCAAGCTTGAATTGTTCCATCATTGGAACAGGAATATAAGGTGTTCTTCATTGCAGCAATATGATAAATTGCTGATTCATGGGCTTGAAATTCAGTTTCCAGTTGAAGACTTGGATGCCATACCTAGTAACATTAAACAGCAGCAAATAAATGTTGAGTTTTCTGTTAACACATATTTTTATCTTTCAGCATACATACATTTAGACTTGATGTCAGTGGCATTTTACTAAGAATGGGTAGAATCAATAGGCTAGAAAAATAATCAGCTTGTGTATAGATATGTTGAACATAATAAAATAAAGGTTTAGAAAACAATTCTCATACATTTGCCAAATAAGACAGCCTGTATATTTCCATTTAAGTTCAGGATTCCTTGTTATTGCCAAGGAAAATTTCTGTGATGCTGCTTTCTACAAATTTCCCATTGGAAATGTGCCAATATATTTAAATATCTAAAGTAATTTTACTCTTCAGATTTTCTTTGGAACTGGCAATTAAAGAACATTTCAGATTGCACACTATTCATGTACAGCCTGTCATGATATGGGACGAAATCTTTCTGATTTGTGGGCCAAATTGAAGGGCTGCAGTTAAATGTAATCTATAGTAATTTCAACATGTGAAACCCATGAAAAATGTACTGTTACTAGTACTTAAAAATGTAAGTATATAGTGTACCTTATATTAGTTACATCTTATCGTATTTTATCAGTGTGTACTTTCATGTTTACTTGACACTTCTTGAGCTGATGTTCACAGACTTTTGATTTCTTACTGAAAATGCTGGTCCATAATCATTTAATCCAAATTAAGAGACATGAAGTTGGTGTGTGGTCTTGTGGGTTATGATGCTGAGTTCTTGTAGGTCTGGATAAATCTATCACCTCCATATTCTACCCAAAAGAATGCAATCCAAACTTTCACCACTGAACATTCATCTTCATACCTGTGTACTTGCAGGTGCTCTCTCCTATCTTGCCAAGCAGTTTTATTGTTTCTCCCTTTTCCTGTGTTGGTAATATGTTCAAGTGTAGTAACACTTAAAAAGTTTAGAAGAGTAAATCTCTTAACTAAAGTACTCATTCTACATAATAAATCAAAAATATTTTACCTTTATTTTCCCATCTACAGCAGCACTGTAGAGTTTTTCATTATGGAATATTAGTGCATAAATTTCACTTAAGTGTTTGTCTTGAGTATTTGCTGAAGCTGTTATTGTCAGAGGCATTATTTGTCCACTAAATGTCAACTGTTTACGCTACAATTATATTGCTGCACAGATGTTATAAAATCCCAGTGTGCTTAAAATAGATGGTTACTGGCAGAAAATCAAAGTGCATCCAATTTTGGAGGCATGTTCAGACTGCCAGTTATTCTTAATATGGCTTTATGGTCATATTTCAAATTATTAACTTCAGTGTCCATACAAAAGTAAAAACTTAGATGTGAGTAGCCTGACTAAAAAGGAAATTCTGAAGTGAAATTGAATCCTTGGTAACTATGGACAGGACTAGACCTAAACATTAGATACTATTAATGTTGAGAAATAAAGTATGGTATATTACTTGGAAATTGTTTTAATAATTATTATTGTCCTGCATTTGACTAAGACAGCCCGTCAGTAATTGAAGAAACGTACATCATATCGCATTGTGTATATGTTGGCATTTATCTATGTAGAGTACTGTACAGTGTTGATAAAAGTGGAATGTAAATAAATTCTATTCTAGTATCCAATTTCTTCAAAATTATGTCGGAAGGAGACATTTCGTGTCTACATAGAAATCTTTCGTCTTTAGGACTTGGCTGTGTTTCAGAGAATACTGACACTTTCTCTGGCTTATTAGATCAGCTGATAAAGGTAAAGGAATGTGCGATTAGGATGTACAAATCTTGTAAGAGAGACAAATCTTAGAATGATGAGAGAGTACACAGGAAAACCAAGGAATGTGGTCACGAGGAAATGCCGAAAGAAGGGCTGTTTTGATTACAGATAGCATTGAAAAATTAGGTTAGGTTGTTTTAAACCGAAACCATTAATTTTAAAATTAAAAGAAGGTTGATGAATATGTGCTTCACTGAAGAGGAGATTTGGGAGAGGGAGGTGTACGATATTGTAATTGGGTTTTTGTCAGGTTGCGCTAATTTAGTATATAATTATCAGCAGTTACAAATAAAAGACCATGGTCTTTCTTCAAATGCTGCATAATATTACTGTTTCCAACGTAAACGAACTGACAAAATTGCTTTAGAATCAAACTAAATAATGGGGAGTAATTTGAGAATATCTCAGTAAACAGTGGACGTGCAATAGATTTGTATCTTAAAGTGTAAGAAGTGTTGGCAATATATAATTATTGTTAAGACGGTAACCACGACTTTTCGGACTCGCTATTTTAGGTATAAATCGGAAATTTATAGATGCTTGGGGAGATTAGATAATCGCAGTCTTGTATGTTGTAATTTGCCACAGGTTAGAAAGGTCAGTTATGTTTGTAGAGATTTTCGGTTTTGAGTGACTTGTGTTGTTTCTTTCTGAGTATTTATAGTAAATGCCTTGTATTCATAGGAGGTCAGTTTATAAAAGCAGTGGACATAAACTGTCTTGTATCTGATTAACACAAAAGGAGTATATTGTTATTTATGAACACTGTAAAATGATACTGATTCTGAAGACTGCACTCATAAGACTACATCAGAGGTTTCTTCTGCTTCTGCTCCATACTTTCTGATACTACAGTACTGCTGTGACAAATTAGGTAAGACCAAATTTTACATCATATGTTAAATGTATTTTTATCTTTCAGATATTACTCGAAGAGAAGGGCAGCAAAAAGTTTACTTTAAAGTATAATGTGGCTATATTCATTGAGCTTGAATCAGCTGCCCTTATATTCAGTGCAGCAGATGTTGAACTCATATTTGCAACATTCAAAGTAAGTAGCTTGCAATTTTTAACCATATTTATATTTTCTTCTGTGACAGATTTGAGGTTGCTTACTTATATCACACCACAAGAATATTTTTGTATTAAAACACTTGAAAATAACATGTGGCCACCTTGTTGGTATTACTAATGATATGGAATTAATAAATTTTTAGGTGAAATGGACCTTTTGCCAAGTTAGCTACAGGCTTGCACTGCATGTCGACATGATATATACTGCAAGTTTTAGTTTCCTTCTGAAATAAGGAAAGTGTGCTATAAAATAGACCAGGGTGCATTTGTTAGTACATTCTCATACATATATACACAAATAACATTAATTTTTGTATGCAGCTTACCTGATATTTGAGATAGAAATATTTTTACTTCATTTGCTATATGTTCTGGTTTTTTATCAAGCCCATAGAGATAATTTCTGAGAGTGTTATGAAATTAGGCAAATATGTTGAATAAACAGTCATGAACAGCCAACAAGCGGTGGTCTTCTAACCTGGGTTTTTGGCAGGGGGCCAGCAACTTCTTACCCTAAGAAACAGTCATGTTAAAAAATGACACAAAGGGTCTTGGATTTGGATAGACTTTTTAAAAGTTGTTGTTAAAGTAATAGGGTATGGATTGGATTTGTCTGTCTTTGACAAGGTAATTCAGTTTGGGCTCTTTTAAATACAGTAATGAAAGCTTAGGTTCTGTAAAAGATGGAAAATTTCAGAACCATCTTAGTGATCATCAGTCATTATGGATTCTGCTCCGTGGAATTAGTCACTTCAATAGTTATGGCATCTGTCTGTTATTTACCTATGCATCCCCAGAAATTCTTTGTGAAACCTCAGGGTACTGCAGGACAGTTTGGGTATAATTACGCATATAGGACTTCATTGTACCTTACTGTAAGGCCTAGAATATTTCTAAACCAGTTTGCATACATAGTGTGTGTGTAATCTTTCATATGTACAAAACGGACATGCAAACGTGGGTTGAACATATGGGTCCCAAAAACACTTGCTTAAATAATTAACATTATAATATTATATATATATATATATATATAATAATAATATGTGTTTTGTACTTTTCAAGAATGTTTTCCAAGACTGCACAAAAGAAAATTACCCATTTCTTCAAGGCCAATGTCTTTTATCCATGACGTCTGTTTTAATGCAAGCATTTGAGAAGGTAAGTTGCACATACAGTCATCAGAATTAAAGTGTTTCTTGAGTAGCGGATTTACTATTGGCTTCTAGAGAATTATTATGCTCCATGGAGTTAGTTTTAGTTTTAAATGAGACATTCTTTAATATGTATTTATTTGTGAATGTGTATACATATTTTCATGTTATGCCTGTAGTAGGAACTCATGTCAGCAACTAGCAAATGATGAGTATGGTTATGTTTAGTAATGCGATTACTTAGCATATTTTTTTATAGTTTATGTTGAATCTCTTCATGTGTGCCTCATCTCATGCTGTAATGCTGTAACGCTTAATTCAGCACCAGGATATGTCTATATGGCATGGTGTATAACTAAGTGACAAATTTGCTTTTTTTATTTTGTCATTTTACAGGTGGTTGAAGAAGAAATAACAGTACTGTTTACAGAGCATGTTGAGTTCCTGTTTAGTTTGATAAAACAAACAAATAATGTGAACAACATTCATGTACGTTCCATTGCTGCTAGCTGCCTTAGTGAAATCGAACTCTTTTTTCCTGTAAGTGTTATAATTGTATTGTGCTCTCTCTGGAGTTGTAGTATTAGGAACATTGGTTTTACGGTCTGTGTTGTCTTCATACAGGTGATCTTAGGTGTGCACATGGGTTGTGTTTGTGTGAATTGCCATGTATGTTGAACATTTCTAAAACAGGAAATGTATAACATGGCCATGGATGTTATGAGTGATAAACCATGAGAGGCTTTAATTTGTTGTCTCTGAAGTCAGAATGGTGGGGTGAGTCAGTTAATCTGCACATGCAACTAAGTGGGTCTGTGGAACAGCTTTTACTGTGGTTGCAGATAGGATATTGATGCACCTCATGATACAGAAATAAATTTGTGGTTGTATGAAAGTGCAGGTTGTGGAAGCATGTATAATGGGAGTCACCTTTGTAAGGTTCTCAAATTTTCTCGTCTCATTTTATTCTGTTTACACATTTTCAGTTACACTTAAATGTGTGCCTTTGTGTATGTATGTATGTACAGTCCACAGATCAGGAGAAAATCCCTGCTAGGAATTCGATATACGCGCATGCGCAAGATTTCGCGGTGAGTGACGACCGATCCTAAAAGCATTTGTTCTACAACCACTGAACAAACAACAGACAACAGGCTTTCATGTGTTCTAATGGGTACAGCTTTAAGATTACCTCACAGCAGCACAGTGATTTAATCTAGAATATTATCGCAACTCCCGCAGAACCCATTAGAGGTGCACTCACTACACGCTACTCTTAACGGCTTGATGTTTTCAGTCTGTGTAGTAGCGTAAAACTCTGACGTATCGCACTTCCCACCAATAGCAGCCCTCTAGTCCAGCTGATAAGTAACATTCCCCCCGCACCGCACCAGAAACGACTTCCCCCAGCAGGGTTTTTCTCGTGATCTGTAGACAGTATGTATGCACATATTCTTTTTCATCTGTAAATTACTAAAGTTAATGAAATTATGTATATATATATGTATTTGAATTGCAATATTATTGTTGTTACTGATTTAAACATTTTCAATTTTATGTACTGTAGTCATTTGTCATTGATAACAATTATTGTAATGTGAAAGAATCTTTTTTTAAATATCTGGAAATTAATTTATGTAGGTTATCTTACATTCTGACTTATTGTAAATTAATTTCTCAAAAATGACCTCTGTTACCTTGTTAAATTTGATAAATAATGTATATAAGATATTTCAGTTGTTCATGGGTGACTTATTCATTCATGCTGAAACTACCCATTGCAGTTTCTAGATACAGACTACAGCATTCTGTCATGCTATAGTTATTGCAACTTTTGTGAATAATTTAATTTGTACTTTGCAGCAAATCCTAAAGGATTATGTTGACAGTTTGTATACAGCAGCAGTAGCAGAAACTTCAATAGCACATCAGTCTTACATGTCACTTCTGGCTCTAATTATCAATCATTCTTTTGCTGACAAAATAAAGGCATCTTCTCTGTAAGTAAATGGGAGAATTTTGTTATGATTTAATTACTAAATTTATATTCAATTTAGCAATTGTGTGATAAAATTTATTAATTTCAGAAGGGGCAAATATCTAATTGTTCAGCAGAAATACAGTTTTATCCCACAAGAAGTTGACACAGCCATCATGGGATATCCTGATTTAAAAGAGGTATTTTTAAATTATTATGTTTCACTTTGAAGATGTGAAATATAATTTTTTTTAGATTTGTTGAAGCCCCCCATAGTTTTGTTTGCAGATTTTTGGTTGATAACCATAAAATGTAAAAAGAAAGAAGGAGGGAGGGAGGAAGGAATATAAGCCATTTTAATTTTTAAAATTTGCTTGTTTTGAATTTTTGCAGAGGTTTAATTTCTTAGTATGTATCCTTTTACCACAGTTTGACTGTCATGCTATCAGAGTTTGAACCAGAAGTTTTCTTTTATGTAGATGCTGTCTTTCCTAGTAGACCAACTACCTCTATGTTCAACTGAAGGTGCATCTTGGATAGCTATACAGATTATTGACATGATGCTGCAGAGGCCAGATCTGCAAGCATCAGCCCAAGTTTTGAAACCATTGGTACTTCATTTTTCAAGCACATACAGCCCACTGGCTGCTCATGTTGTTTTTCTGCTTGAAGTAAGTTATAAATGGCCCAAAGTTATACATTGTATTGTATTGATATTTATGACTTATGCATCTTCGTGTTAACACATACAAGCTCTCTAGAGGTTTACATACCATGGGGATGCTTCTGGTTCCCCCCCCCCCCCCCCCCCCCACTGACAGAGTGTACAGAACTGCCCAGAATTTAATTCTGTGTCAGGAAGCAACCATTTACTGAAAGCATGGAAGCAAGGTTCCGTGAAATTGGATTTAAAAGAGACTTCATGACATATACACAGATAAATATTTCTTTATTCTGATATCCCACACATAAACTGCTAGACGTAGTATGAAATTTTGTTCTTTATATATATTTATACATGTAATAGATCTGGAATTATTTTAAAACAGTATGTTTCAGAACATGCCACTATATTCAGTAGTTAGTGGTTAATAAGAAACATTTACTTCAGCTGATTCAAACTCATGAAATTACCTATCAAAACTGTAATTTACTGGCCTGAGCTCAGTATTTTTTATATTGTAACGATACCTGTCTTTGTCTTATACATTAACAGACTCAAATCCATTTTAAGAGAATGTTATAATTATGTAGCTGCTTTAGTGATTGAAGTAATTATAAATTCACCCCATCTTCATAGATTATTCCTCAGAATCATGTTTGAATATATGCTTAAAATTGTTTTTGGTATCATGCCAGAGTCATTCTTTCAATGAGTTATTTTCAGTTTCTTCTTTAGCATTATATGTAAACCTGTTGCAGGCAAAATCTGTAATTTTGTAATTTAAAATAAAAAATGCAGGTGCAACTTTCCTTAGTAAATCAGTAGTTTGCAGAACCCTGTTTAAGAAAACATGAAATGGAACCATGGAATAAATGTAGTTCAGAAAACAAAATCACTGTCAAGGCATATCGCATAGTATCTTGTGTAATGCAGTTTGATTCATGTTCTGTTTCAGAAACATTTAGGACATTTGATTTTTCAAGAAAAGGACATGATCCAACTTCTACAGCAGCTGCTCCTAAATTCAAGCCATCCTTCTATGTCACCACCTGTACGTCTTCTCTTCTTGGATTGGCTGAGTGATCTTCTTATTAGGAGACCAGAGAAAATAAATAATATACAAAATATTTGTTTTTTCTTTCCTGGCAGCTTTGATGGACCAGAAACTCACCTTATTAAGCTGAAACTGTTAAGTTCTGTTTTAAAAATTGGGAAAGGTAATTTGTTTGTTTATGACGGAGTATAATGACTACATTTCTGTAACCATCTTGTTTCAAGCATGTTTTTATATTACTTTGGTTAATTTAGTTTGTTCCTTTATTAATTATGCAATTATATATCTTTATGAGTTTCCACAGTAACTGTCAATATTGTGACAAGGAAGATTGATGTCAATAATGTAATTTAAACCCTCTGTGGCCCTTTTTCAGAGTCCTCAGGTGTACTTCTACAGACATTAGCCAGCTTACAAAAACAGTTGAAATATAAATCATCTACCAAACTAAAATCAGCACTAGTGAAAGTATTGTACAGATTTTTATGTGACCATTGTACTTTGGTTATGTGTACTGAAGTACCAAGGTATGTTAATATAATGAATAGATTAAATAATCATATAGCAGTTGATTCAATATTTTTAAAATTAATACAGTTGTTGTAAATGTAAGGGTAGACAAAAACAGAACTTCTGGAAACAACTTATGATGCATGCAATCTTTTGAATTATTCTGTTTGCATAAAGCTGCCAGCAGGAACTATAAATGAACAATTGTAGAATTTAATGTTCTAATCTTGTATATTCTCTCCCCCCCATCTCTCCCAGTTCTTGGAAGATGTTGGACATAGCCACAAAATTTTGTGTCATCATTGTGTTTGGAAAGTTTGATTTTAAGTTATGAATGGTCAAATTAAGAATGTTTCATTTGGCAACATTGCAAGCAGATATGATGGCTGGCATAAACATAGTCAGATACAGTAAACATTTCTGAGTACTGTCAAGGCCATTTCTAGAAAGTAAAATGCAGAGGGGAGGACTGCCCCCCAACTTCCGATGTCCTACTTGAATGAAATGTTGGTTTGGGTGTTTCAGGATACTTGTGGACATAACTATGGAGGACATATCATTTACTCCATATGTATTGAATTTCACGCAGTGTGTGCAAGATAGTTTTCCCAAATTATCTGTTCCATCTTGTATTCTTACATCACTGGTAATGGAATTTACTCAACCTGAAAGCACAGCTACACTTGCTACATTCCACTTTGTTCTGGATATCTTCCTGATGGCAATTATGCAGAACATCTGTCAACCAAAGGTATGCACTAAAACACACTGGCTTTTCTTTTGTCCCTGGTCTTAGTAATGGAACCAATGTAATTCCACTTTAAAAACATTTCTGTAGAGTTGTTAATATGTGATAGCACACTGAAGATGGCTGTTTTCTGGGTTGTTGCACCATCTAGTCTGGTAGAAGTTTACTGATGTTTATCACCCTCATGATGGAGGCAGCAAGGACCTCTGAAATGTCAGGAAACTTATACCAGACTACACAGAGCAAAAACCCAGAAGATAGCCACTTTCAGACTCACTGACATGAATATCTCAAATCCTGAGGGTTCATTGTTGTTTTCTGTCAAATGATATTTTCAAAATGATTAAGAATACTGGAGGTGGTTGTTATGGGGGAAAATTGTTATGGCCAATCTTATCCTTGCATTCAGCTGAGGGTACAGAGGAAAACCATGAAAATCTTCAGTCATTTGCCAATCCCTGGCTGATATTAGGAACAATACCTCCCAAATGAGAGTATGACACTTTTCATGACCACTGTGTCAGCCAGCAGTTTGTTTAGTTTAATTTCTGTTGTGATCCCTTGGTATTTCAGTGAGTCATCAAAAGCTTTCATATGAGTAACATGCGTAAGTTGTATTCTTTATTATCTTTATGTTTTGCCCAGTATCATTGTGAATTGTTTTTATTTCAGGTAATATTAAATTACCTGATGAAATATGTTGTGTGTGAGGAGGTATGTGGGTTATTAAACTGGACAGTTGGTCACCAAATTCTGTCTTTGTGCTACAAGATGATGAGCAACTATGACACTGTTGAGTTTTTCTATGGTGAGTCTCAGATTAATCATTGCACTGTATAATCAGCAATTCTGGCATTTATGAATATATAGCATTGGCACCAAATTTTGAATTTTGCACAGTATGACATCAGGCCAATGGATATGGAACACCATGATTAATGTGTTTGGAATATATTTGTAATGTTTTGGGTTACATTTATCTGCTATTCTTTTTCTAGGTATGTTGGCTTTGGTTCTTTTTCCCAGATGTAAGAAACATTTTAAATTTTTGTTACAGAGCTGTGTGAAGTATTGAAAATGTTCATGGCTAATTGTGAAGATGTGGACCTTTTCGACAGAGCTCACATATACCATTCTCTTTTAGTCTCCTTGTCCAATAAAAAGGTTTGTATCTGTATACATAGAGTGTTCCATTTAAAATGCAATGATAACTACTACACTACTGAACCTCTTCATGTACAAAATGATAGAACAAATGACAGTCTTGAATTCTTGCAGTTGATGGACTATTTGAAATTGGTACAGCTGTAATTTCAGTTGCTTTGTCACTTGTCACATATAAACACTTCCTGTGTCCTGAAATTTTGTTGTAGGTTGGTGTACTATTTTAAGAATTCTGTACTGCAGCATTCTGATGTATATTATTCAGATATTTGATGTTTGTTCATTTGTCAATTTTTACACACACTTACTAGGTGTTTAACGAACTACATGTTTTGGACGCGATATAATATTTGTGTGTAAAAGTCACTCAATTAATTTTTCTTTTGTTAGCTGAAGGAAGTACTGGTGTCACCAAAACAAAGTATTATGGCAAGTGAAAATACTCTTCTTTCTACATCTTCCATCTGCAGACTGGATGAACCAATTCTGCAGCTAAAGAAAGAAAAAAGAGTCATATATTCAACAGAGCAGTGCATTCCTGAAAGGATTCTAGATGTTCCAGAAGGTACAAAAACTATTGATTCTATGCACTCTTGTACCATCTGCTAACATGAACACATACAATGTATGGGTGAAACACAGTATCACTTTTCTGCAGCTAAAATGAATTTATATCATAACACAAGTGCATACTTTATTTCATTTTTGACAATTTCCTGGAAAAAGAAACTGATTATTTAGTAATAGCTGTCAGTTATCAACAACTGGGGACAGCTATCCTGATCGAGATTTTCCGTATTTTTTAACAGTGTGTGCAGGCAAATGTTTGAATACTGCCATAAAATAGTGTGTGGCCACTTCCTCTGACAAACTTTCAGATATATGTTCATAATCATCCTACCATTAAATAGTCTCATTAATTGATAGAATATTTTTAAAGTGAGTGAATGAAGAAAATAAATACAGGTTATATAGATTTTAAATATGATTTGTTTTTAAACTTTGAATTGCTCAGGTCAAGGATTAATGACAAAGAGGGCTCTGCTAGTGACCATTTTTGTATGTGGAACTACACTTTAAATTAAACGTTTTTGGTCTCTTCTTAGGTAGGTGGCATTGATTTAAATCTCCACATATCCTAAACCTATATCTGTGGAAGTACTTTACTCTGATTCCTAATATTAATTAATAACTCTTCTGTTGATAATTATTAACATTCTTATTTACAGTTTTACATATTTGTTCTTATGTTAGCAGATATACTGCAGCTACACACAAGACAGTTATCATTTGTGGCTAAGAAACCTCTCATCATAAAAGGAAGACTAAACACCACATCCAAATTTGTTGTAAAGTTACAGCCAATTCAAGGTAAACAAAGAGCAAAGATTTACGATTATTGTTTACAAAGAATTGTTATATAAGGTGTACTATTGATGGCTGTCTTCTGGGTTGTTGTGCCATGTAGTATGGTAAGACTACATGGCACAACAACCCAGAAGACAGCCATCTTCAGACTCACAGCCACGAAAACCTCAAATCCTATATAATGTATACTAATTTGCATTAAGTGTCTTAAATTTCCTTTTGTCATACTTGCAAATGAGAGTACAATTTTGTATGTATGACATGCCAGGAGAAATTGTAATTGTAAACATGGATTCTGTTTGCAGAAAGCTTGTATAATGTCTGAATTTATTATCTATGAATGTAATAAACTGTTTTATATTATGCCAGTATCATTCTTATCAATAAATAAATATTTATTCAAGGTTATGGTGGTATAAAAGTTGCTAGTTATTTCTTATGTACTTTGTGGAAATATGTAATTTTATTTAGCTTTTGTTGCAGAATACTTCTGTACTGCCTAAACTGTTTACTTTTAAATGTGATTAACTGTTTAATATTACTCCACTATCCTTCTTATAAATTAATAAATAGGCATATAGATAACATGTATTCAAAGCTACAAAATGGTGCCGTAAAAATTGGAAATTATTTCTTGTGCATTTTACAGAAATTTTTAATTTTGTTTCAGCTCTGGCAATTTTCTTCAATGCTCCAGAATCTTGGGGTAGAATTGAACCAATTATGATTGGACATTACACAAAGAAGAATTCTGATGATTATTCTGAATTATCACATATTGTGGACATTGAATGTTTCCTTTGCAAGCCGTATCCTGCTATTATACAAGTCTGGTACATTTATCTTTGAAGTAACATTATTTTGTGTGTATGTGTTGTCATATTTCTTTCATCCTTAATGAGTGTTATTAAATTAGCAATTGGATGTGAAATATTCGAATGGACTGAGCTTATAAGCTTCACAGAGTTGTAATACACACACATGTGATGGTGATGATATACACAGTATATGTAAGTTTAAATTCATATATAGTCCGATATTAGTCCTGCGCTGTAGCTGCGCAGTCTGGGAGAAGAAATTTTCTCATGAGCTTTCGACCAGTGTGTGGCACCAGTGCCAACCCAGCATCGTGAGGAAATTGGGGATCTACAATGAGTAGCGTAATCCAATCATGAAAACTAGCAATGGCTGGGGGTTCGTCGTGCTGACCACACGTCATCCTGTATCTGGTTGGATGATTGTTCACCTCCGCTTAGGCATGTGAACGTGAGACCAGCAGTCAAGCTAGTTGGCTTAGGCTCTCTGGAGCTGTTACGCCACAGATTTAATTTTTAATTTTAATTTAATTTAATATAGTTTGATATTTATGTATACTTTGAGGTAACATTTGAAGATAGTTGAAAGCCAAAGCAGGTAGTGTTTTATGATATATAAATACAGTTGTGTTTATGTTCCTTCTGTTATAATTAATCTTGAATGCATGTTAATGTAGTGATAGTATTAAATTCTTTGTATGTAACTTACGTTGTATTTAAATTGTGGATTTAATTTAATTTCAGTGCTGAATTTAGCATTAAAAATGTGTGCTATGTGTGCAATCTGGAGCCATTAACGTTGGATTTACCACACTTTTTCCAGCCATTACCAGTTCATGGTAAGTGAAGATGTACTCAAACCAAATTTTCTCAGAAGTTGTCTTAAATAAACTAACATATCTTATGATTTGATAATGTACACACATACAACATTTCTGATTTTAAACTGATAGATTTATTATTACAAGAAAGCCCATATTCAGATTGACCCGAACTAGATCCCTTTTGATGGAATAAAGGCAAATTATTACTTTTCTTTGTTACAAATAAAAATTAGCACTTGTATTTGGTTATGCAAGCATTTCATTATGAGTGTACTACTGCCATGTTCTAAATTCGTGGTGAAATGCTCTCTTTATGTCAGTGACTACTAATAGTACTACTTTTCTGCTTTTGAATAAAGAATCAGGGTGTGAAACATGCCACCAACAATATGCAGTTTGAAATAAATGTGTAACTGAGTTTTTTATATATAGATGAATATATTTCTGCATCAACCATATGGAGAAGAGCTTTATTTTCCATTCTGTGGGATTCTTTGGAGGAGAAATCTGTTACAGCAGAAAATACAGCATTTACTTCTGTTTGTGTGCTGCAACAATCCAGGGAAGGTCTCAAAAGAAAACTGAGTGAAGAATTGGAGGATTGTATTGTTGAAGATTCTAAAGGTAATAAATCTTACTACACAGTATAAACTTCATTGTCAGTTTATAATTAACTAATTCATTTGTCACTGAATCCAGACTTTCAACACCACTAAGACCAACTTTAGCCATTGGACTTAGTTCTGAACATTTCAATCCTTCACTGTCTCACAGCTTGTTTCCCCAGTATCTTTTATATTATTATTTTCCTCAGTTTTACAAGTATATTCTTTCCATTGATTTTCCCCACAAGAAATTAGTATGCATTTCTTGTTTATTCCATCCAAGCTAGACATATTTATGATGGATTATCATTTTCAATATAATTTACAATAAAAAGAAACACTACATGTACAAAGCTGTACTATAACAGTTATAAATTTCAAACTTTCTATGTCCAAGTGTTGATCACATAAATTGTCTTATTTTTTATCTGATTGGAAATTAATAAAGTTCAAAATGTAACTTGACATTTGAATAACTGAAGTGGATAATTGTGAATAAAAGAGTAATTCTTGTTCATGTGCTCCCATCTGAGTCAGAACTCAACACAGTTCTAATACATTAAGTAAATATGCAGAGATTATTTTCAATTTATGTTTTTTTTATTTGTTTCAGGTTTTTTATTAATCTATTCAGATATTCTTCTATTTAAGAATAGTATTATTTCCATAAATTGGCATGCAGTATTTCTGTTATGCATTGTTTTCTCTATGAAACATTTCCTGGCCTCTGGTGACCTTAGGCAAATTAGAATCAATTTCTGAAGTGGTGGTACATGTGTAAAATTTTGTACCCCCAGTTACGAAGAGGTTATGAAGATGATGGTTGTCTTTTATTAGTACTGAATTTTGTAAATTGAGAATGCTAGCAGTTTTTTTGATACTTGCTTGTGAAATGAAAATGTTTCTACTCAATTTCTTCCTTTCTGGGTAAATATTGAGAGTATGGCCAACATTTTTACACAAATTCCAATCCCTGCAGGGCAGCTGTTAAAATCTCTCCATCCATTTGTCTGTCACTGCACATGTAACAACCGGAAAACAACTGGACAGATGAAGATTTCTGTCTTCTGGGTTGTTGCGTTGTGTAGTCTGGTCTATGTTAACCAACGTTTCAGAGGTCATACTGCCTCCGTCATCAGGGCCTTTTAGTCTTTGTGCCATCTCTGAGGTAAAAAATCATCCATGAACTTGTGTATATCTGTGTGTTTGTTTTTTGAAAATAGGAGATACCATGTCTTTCCTCTTTTTATTTTAGTTGCGCTATGAATAAAATTTGTCATGAAATGCTGTTTCTTCCAGATGAGGATACCATCCACATTGGAATTTACTTATCCCCAGCAAGTCATCTTCTTATGAAGTTCTTATTCAGAAATGGTAGCACTCTAGTTAGAATAGTCACTGATGATATTCATATTTTAGCTCATGTCAACAGCTACTTTAAGACATGGTAATAAGAGTGACATGAAAGTGGAATGGTGCTTACTTCTTTTGACTTCTAATTCAGTATGGCATTTGTTTGATATATTTCATAAATTTGTACAGTCTTATGTTAATATCCATAGAGAATTAGTTCTGTGCAGTACTATGCTGACAACAGAGCTGGGCCTAGAAATAATTAATTAAATGTTGAACTTATTGGTGTCATTATTAACCATCACCAAATTGCACGCTTCAAGGTCATGGAAGAACTTTGCCTCATTTACTGTGTGGTTCTAAGTCAACAGTACAGCATTGCTAGCTTTACTACACCATGAGTTTTTAGCAGTCTTCATTTGCCTAGCCTCGACTGTTCATGTTACAACATTCTACAGGTTGGATGTGTCCTTGAAGTGTGCGCTTTGGTTGTGGCTAAAAAGTTAGTTAATTGCCCATGTCATCATTGTTCATATATATGCCTACATAAGAATAACATATTAAATAAAATTGAGAGGCATAGATGATTATTAAGCTGTTTATTAATATAAACACACATCTATGTACTGTGATCACATGTTAAAAAACACTTAATTATTAAGTTCTGTATATACTGCTGTTATTCAATTTCAAAAATTATATAAAGTGTAGGATTTGAGGTTTTCATAGTGGTGAGTCTGAAGATTGCTGTCTTCTGGGTATTGTGCCGTGTACTCCGGTAGATTTCCACCAATGTTTCAGAGGGTTGGAGGCAGTATGACCTCTTCCATCATGTCTACTCACCTGTCTTATGTCTGGTGATCCACTTAACAGACCCCTAGGGGTCCTTATAAGGGCTGCTTTCTCTGACCTCTCTTGCTCTCATATCCTTCCCCCTCCTGCTGGCCAGGCTTTGGTATGCCCCCTACTCCTATTGGTTTTCAGGCCCTTGCCAATCCTCACCCCACTCCCCACTGGTCAGATCAAGGTTCTGTCTGGCTGTCAGTTTCCTGTATCTCAAACCGATTCCATGCACACTTACTCATTCCCCTGATGATGGAGGCAGCAAGAGCTGCCGGAACATTGGTAAACTTTTACCAGACTACACTGTGCTACAACCTAGAAGACGGCTATCTTCAGATTAATCGCTGTGAAAACCTCAAATTCCTGTTTCTTAAGATGTTCTTCTGTATCAAAAGTCAGGTGTGAGATAAATGGATAGCAGCTTTAATGTGTGTAATTTTCTCCTGACAGAGTAATGTTTGTGAATGATATGACAGTGTACTTCTCAAAATTGAGATCATTGCAAATCTTTACAGAGTGCAATGATAAGATGATACAGGACGATGAGGCTCTGATGTTGGAGGCAGCAAAGACCTCTGAAACATTGGTAAAGATTTATGAGACTACATGACGCTACAACCCAGCAGACAGCCATCTTTGGACTTACTGCCCAGAAAACCTCAAATCCTACATGATACTGGTTCATTTTTCTTTGTAATGTAAGCATTTTATAGTGCTATATCTGCAGGAGATAGAGTGTGGACTGGATTAATATGATTCAAGACTGGTAGTGAGTTTTATAGAACACTTGTATTAACCTTGAGATTCAACAAAAGCAGGGTATCTTTTTTAAGCTGAGGATTTTATTATCTACTCAAGAAGGACTGTATAGAACTAATTTAAAGGGATATAATCTAACCAAAGCATTGGAAGGGTAATGGGCCAGAAGGGTATATCGATAAAATGACTGATTTACAGGAAACTAAATTCTTACATTTAATTGGTTTTATGAAAATGCATAGTTTAGAGCAGCACCAGCATGACATACGCCTATTTTATGTTGTTAGACCAAATATCTTTGATTATGAAAATTCCGGCATTATGACCTCGACATATCTGTTTTGATCTTTCAAGTTGGTAGATTTTGATTTGTGTACTTTGGTAATGGAAAATAAATCACAATTTTACTGTCCAATATTGACGTCTACCATCTACAAGAATACAGTTAAACTAACTTTAGTAGGAAAGCAGTGTGTGTGTTATCGTTCTTCTGGGTGTACATTCAATGTATTGTGTACGCTTGGATAATGGCGACATCTAAGACTACTAATACGTATAACAGACAAAATTGGGAGGATGCTGTAAGTAAGCAGGGAACTATAATCAACTTTAAACATTTTGAATGCTATAATATAGAGCAGTAATTTAAAATTTATCTATATATTTCTGTGTCCTTTGAAATCTCGATTTCGGCGGCACGATTCTTAAATATGTAGGGGTCATGGCGGATATGAAATTGTTATAGTTCGGTATTCATCTTGAAAGAAAATATTATGCTTGTGGTTGATTCAATTTAGTTTAACAGTCCTTTGCATAACAATTATGTTTTTCATGTGGTAAAGGTAAAATAAACTTTTGTGGCAGATCAAGTAACTTTGCAAGGGCCTTTTTTTCAGATCACTATAGATTCATACCATTAACATTTTGCAGTTAAAATGCTTGCATTTTGTAATCACTTTTTTCACTATAAATGGAATCATTGTCACATCATAGTGCTTTTGTACCTTTTTCAGGAGTTCCCTATACTTTGCCAGACTTGTTTGGGTGACAATCCGTATATACGAATGGTAAGTCTTTGTGATATATAGTTTTCAGAAAAGCTGACATTTCACATGAATGTTGAAGGAGATCACCATAAATGTTGTAGGTGGCAGAAAATCCAATAGATAAAAATAATTCATAATACTGTAAACGTTATGTTTATTTGTTCTTACTAGGTTTAAGTAAGTAATCCTCCATATCTAAAGATACACACAGACTTTATTGAGACTTTATTAATGAGGTTCTTACATCAATGGACAGACTTATTTAGATATTAGGCTTGTTTCATCACTTGAATAATTTCAGTACATTGTCAGTATTATAATTTTATTCATACTGAAATTTGTATCAGGTTTAAAGTCAGTTGAGAACATGTTATATAAATGTTAAAACATAGCATAGTTGCTATTAATATTATTTTTGTTACTAAACAGTCAGGGACAAGTATATTGTTTAAAATGTAAGAAATACAGTAATAACATTTAAAAGTGAATTCAAGACATAATTAATAGAGTACAATTAAAAATACAGTGTTTTCTGTCTCAACTGGAGTATAGTCATACAAATAATTGGATTTATTATATTTAAGATTTTCTTTAACATTCTGTAAATATACTATGTGAATGATTATATCTTGAATTATTTCTTTGAAGCTCACTGAGCTAGAGTTATTGGTAAAAACATACCAGTACAACCAGGCCGTGCTGTAGCTCAGACAAATGCCTGCTTCTTACCATGGAGGCCCAGGTTCAAACCCAGAGTAGTCCATCTGGAATTTATAATGGATGAAGTGTCACTGGCTACATCATTTGTCCTGCATAAATCATAATTATACCAAAACTCCATTTCTATTACTACCCCAAAGGTTTGCAATAGGCCTGATCCCTCATCATGATTTGTGCTGGTCTTCAGTTGGTGGTTATCTCTCAACTGTACTTGCCTGAACTAAGAGTAATAAAAATTGTTTGATTTATTTAAAATGTTTTGTAACATTTAATAATTTCAGACAAAAGAGCGGTATGGAAAAGAGTGTAAGATTTGCTCCAGACCTTTCACTGTGTTTCGATGGTGCCCTGGCGCTCGAATGAGGTGCAAGAAATCAGAAGTGTGTCAGACATGTAGTCGGATGAAGAATGTGTGCCAAACATGTCTGTTAGATCTGGAATATGGACTTCCAATTCAAGTTCGAGATTCAGCTCTCCGTATTAAGGATGACCTACCACGTTCAGATGTTAACAAAGAATATTATATTCAAAATATGGACAAGGAGGTACAGTAACTATTAGGATTGGGCTTTTAAACTTCTCTGCCATGTAGTTGATGACTTATTTTTGTTTTCAAACCATAACTAAAAATAATAAAAAATTATATTTTTTCCCTCTTGTTTGGCAGCTTGGCAAGATAGATGCCACTACCCCAGCAGGTGCAATTGGAAAGTCTCAAGCTGCCAGTGACTTATTGATGAAAGTGGCTAGGACAAGTCCTTACTACAAAAGGAATCGACCACACATTTGCTCTTTCTGGGTGAAAGGTGAATGTAAGCGAGGAGAAGAGTGTCCATATCGTCATGAAAAACCAACAGACCCAGATGATCCTCTAGCTGATCAAAATATTAAAGATAGGTAAGTGCTTAAAGATGCAACAGATGGATAGAATGTGATTAGTGTACCAGCCGAGCATTCTAAAAATGCCCCAGGTTTGATCCAGTTAGGGGAAGCCATGGCTGGCTGGGAATTCTTCACTCAGTCACTTCTACACAGATGATGGACAGTGATGAAGAGGGCTCCAGGGTTTTGATGGGCCCTAGCCCACATATCAAGGATGGACAGTATTAAGGGGATCTCAGGGTCTTGCCTGGACCTGACATGCATATCCAGGGCAGGCAGTAATAACCAGAATTTGACTTTTCACCTTTGCGAATGGCCAGGGAATCCTCTAGCTGAGGTTAATGTAATCACCTAATATTAGAAAGCTTCAATCCAGATAATTGAAATTGACCTGTAATGTTTGCAGATGGAAAGTATAATGTGAGAGTTGTCTAACGTCAGTGATCTTTGTGTGGATGTGATATCAAATAGTTTGTATTTGCTGACTGAGATTTTATATTTCAACCCTCATAGGTAAATTCATGATATTGCCATCTGCGCTGATTGTTTTGAATTCACCATGTGTAATAATCTTCTCATTTCAGTCTACTATACGTAGCATTTGTGGTACTTATTGTTATATATGGAGTTAATAAAACATACATAATGTGAAGTACAGTGGCATTTGAAATCATAGTAAAATGTGTGTTTGTAATTACCAGATATTTTTAATAATGAGAATTTAAGAATGTGAATGCATTTCAGCTTTAAGTGTAATCCACTGTCATAGAAGTGCTTTATACATTTTTATTTTTATCAGTGACATTGTTTGAGTTATTTTTAATTATGACTTCCTTTAAATTTAGAATTGAGTTCAGAAAATGTAAATTGGTCTTTTTGTAGGTACTATGGTATCAATGATCCTGTGGCTGAGAAACTTATGCGTCGAGCTTCTGCAATGCCAAAGCTTGAACCACCAGAAGACAAGAGTATAACTACACTTTATGTTTGGAACCTTGGTGATAAACTAACTGAAAAAGAGCTCAGATAAGGCATTATCTATTTATTGTGAACAGTCTGGTCTCTAATTTGCCAGGGATAGAATTTTTATGGTTTCGTAATTGAGTTACATTTGTATGAACATTGTCTTATTGTTTACAAAAAAAATTTGCCACTACTCAGATTGAACAAATGGAGTAGGTGATGCTTTTTAAGTACAGCTGTTGTTAAATTAATGAAAAATGGTAATTGAAAAAGTTTATTGTTGTTCAACCTCCACTCTTCTTTAATTGTAATAATAATAGATTTTAAATTTTTGTTTGTTTTTTATGCTTAATTGCCAGTAGGACATACCACTGCATACTGCCAAATACATCCTTCTGAATTTTTTTTATTTGTATTCAGATATCTAATGAGCAAGTAATTATAAAAAATGAGAATGTGTTTATTACAAATTTATGATGAAGTTAAATTATTAATACCTTCACACCACTGTTTACCTAAATAACCAAAGAAATGAATGTTGACATTTAAATTATTAAGGGAAGGTGCAGTTGAGTTATTCCAATATCTAAGCACATAACAAAGGCAAAAAATAGTCATGGAAGTTCAGCTCCAATCATTCTGCACCTATCACTAAATGGAGAAAAGCCTTCAACTTAATATTGTTTTCCCTTTATGTTTGGGGAAGGGGCTACCAGTATAATTGGATAACAGGCTAGGTTCTTCCCATATTCTTTCTGGGCATGATGATATGATGTTGATCCTTCTGCAAGTCAGATCCTTTACACTTGCTGAACTTTTAGATTATTGAGTATTTCCACCAATTAAGCTATACCTAGTGGCTAATTGAAATTAATTAACTAGCAACAGAATGGTGTTTGCTTTATTTACAGGGATCATTTTTATCAGTATGGTGAGATAAGGTCAATCACATTAGTTGCTCGACAACAGTGTGCATTTATCCAGTTCACTTTAAGAACAGCAGCAGAGCAAGCATCTGAGCGTACATTCAACAAATTAATCCTTGGCGGGCGGCGATTGACAATCAAATGGGGTCGCTCTCAAGCCCGACAAGGTACTTCAGCTGCTCGTGGGGATGGAGTTGATGCAATAATGGAAGAACTAGAACCAGTGCCAGGTCTCCCTGGTACTTTGCCTCTTCCTCCAACTGAATTACAGAACAACTTTTTCAACCTAGCAGAAACAGATGATAACTCTATCCCACCAGTGCAGACCAACATTCCACCTCCCACAATGCCACCACCAATGCCTCCTCCCATTCTGATTCCACCTCCCATGCCCCGCCCTCCACCTGGCATTCGCCCACCAGGTCCACCCCCTTTCTTTTTTCCTCCTCATATGCGTCCACCTATGCGACCTCCTCCAGGAATTAGACCTCCTTTTAATATATCTCAGCCTCCATTATTTCCACCTGGAACTGCTCCAGCTATTCCACAGCTTCCTCCCAATCCAGCACCTCTGGTACCACCAGGAACTCTTACTACTCCTGCATTGAAACAAGGTGCCATTCATTATCCTTCACAGGATCCATCTAGACTGGGAGCTGCTCAGGGCTTGGCAAAGAATAAAGTTTGGACAGGAGAAGATTAGAGAAACTGTGTTCACAATTTGAAACAAACAAAAGGGATTTTCTTTGATGGAGATGTTGGTAGCAAGCACCTATTCTCCATGAATTATGTTATTTCTTTCATTCTATGCATACATTACAGTATCAAATCCTAACTGCTTTGCAGGATAATGTTTTCCTGTAAATGAGATTTATATACTGCACAGTGACTGTTAATAGAAAGACAGAGGAATTTATTTGAGATTAACAAAATGACCATTGACATTAAGAATACCAAAGAAGTGGAGAAGTCATGTTCACTGGATGCCAGTCTCTAGATAATGAAGAACAGTTTGTAAGTACAGACCTCGAGGAAAGTGGGATTTCGGAAGACCACAAATGAGATGGTTTCAACAGTCTGTATAAACATGGAATGGATGTAATGAACCTAACCTTGTAAGGAAGATGAAGAAAGACAGAGTGATAAATTTCAAACCAAGAGGCTCATCATGCGCGAACAGAGGAATATCCATCATTATAAAAAGCATTGAACATGTTTGTTGTCCAATTTTCAGGATTCTGAAGGGCTGGTATTTGTAACATGTCACCAAACAAATTTTTTACAATTCATACCAAAATATTTTGCACTGGTTGTTTTCCTTGCATTACCCCAAAACTTACCATGCTTTAAGTTGTATATTTTACCAAAATTTTGAAACACTTATTTGATTGGTGCAAGTGGTATTCCCAATTTACAAAGTCATATGGCTGTCTTGGTATTTTTGAATTTTTGAGTTAAATGACAAACTAGATTTTAATGGTATGTTGTTTGTACTGTATTTTTGTATGTTGATGTTTGTAGTTCAGTTGAAGCACCTGGACAAGCTTATAGAATCAGATCATTAATAGGTTTCTTAAGAAGGTTCTCTGTTCCTTCAGAATGGTGAAAACATTTATCAGTAGTCACACAGTGTATTTAATGGTTGAGAATTTCAGATAAATTTCCTTGTAAATGAATTCATTTACTTGTAATCTTACCTAGTCTGATAATTTATTTAGTAGAACACTTAATGTCTCAATTGATAGTTAACTGTTATATACTTGGCCTATAAGCAATCCCTCCATGCACTTACTTTATAGTGCCTTAAAGTATGCAGTGACTGCTTTTTTCCATATCCTTCTTCATTTGTATGAGAAAGTATAGTTAAATAAACTGAGAAACAATCATTCAGTGGTATAAGCCATAGAGGTCAGAAATGATAAAGGAACTTTGGTCTCATTTAAAGTGTGGTAAAGGCATAAAACACTATAAATACAGCCTTGTCCTACAGTTGACATCCTACTGAGAAATGAAACAGTATAGTATAACCATAGTTAAAAATGGGACTTGAGGTTTTCATAGTAGTGAAATTTGGATAATTGTGTTCTCAGTTTTGAACTTGTGTAGACTTGTGGTTAAAAATGTACAAGACATCAGTTGACATTGAAAATTTATATACATATGTGCAGTGAAAGTGTAATTCTTTAAAATTAATTTTTCTTACAATTAGTATTAATTATGAATCTGTAAACATCTGTGAATTTATAGGTTGAAGATAACATAGTATGTCTATTACATGGTGTATGTATAGATGGAAAGAAATATATATTAACACATAGGTGCAAATATCAGTAGACACTTATAAAGCTTAAAATATTCTCCTTCAGGTAGTATTTAGATACATAAGTATCACCACCAAAAGAACATGTATCTTAAAAAATATAATAAAATGATGAATTCAAGATATATATATATGGTATATGACTGCTTCACTTTTTTCTGAGCTCTTTAGGTCTTTACCACCCCTATATGAAGGGTGGGTTTTGCAGATTTGATCATGATGAATTAAATTTATGCGGTTTTTACTGTCTCTTGCTTTGCCTAACTTGCAACATTGCTTAAACAAAATTTGTCATTCTTAGATTGCTGTAATAGTAATTAACCCTTTAAAGTTGTGTGTCATCTTAAAAAATATTAAACATTAAGTCCATGCATCAAATAATGCACACTTGTCCAGTTCAAGGATCAGTTGGTTAATGTTGTTTATGGAAATAAGTGCTGTCTAATCAGAAAATCATAAAAACAAAAATACACTCTTGGGTAAAATGTGGAATTATCAATAGTTGAAGCACTGGGCTTTAGGGATTAAACCTGGATTTAAAGTGATGATAATGTTCAAAATAAATACCACTTTGCTGTATTAGTGAGAAAGTATGTATCATGGCAAAGAATTTAACATAATATTAATGCAGCATTATTAACAAGGAAGTCCACTTGCATTTTTTCATCTGTTGTGACTAAAAAACAACCTGTATGATGTCACAGACGAGGAGCTAATGTTGGTGTTCATTGTAAATCACCATGGCACTAGCACAGAAGAAAAGCGTTACAGATCAGACACCAGTGACCACTGTGGCACAAGGTGAAGGTTCTGGGTGACTTGGCAGTGAACATGTTAAGATATATTTTACACTTGTCCTCAGATCTATTTATAGGTGTTTTGAGTGATCTCTTCCTTGTAAACACTCCAACCAAAACCGTGTTTGTATTTCTCAGTTCCTATAAATTTACCAAGTCAATTCAGTTTTGGGATTTATACGCACTGCTCATTTATTATAATTAAAATGGCTTGTACCAGAAGAAATATTTGGTTACCAATGTCAATAGTGGGGGCACTGATTGTAAGTGATAATTTGTCGGTAGCTACATGCATAGGTTATAACACAGACAACACCTGTGACTACCCACAAAACTACATGAATAATTGAAGTATCGACTGTGATGGTGTATCGACCTCGTGGTAATTCGTGCGACCCATCGTAAATTATGTGATCATCAAAGCCATCTGTTGACTAATTATTGACGTACACTTAAAAACAATAATCTCTGGAACATGGCGTTGAATTTGTTTATGTGCATTTCGTAGGTTTTAGTTGTATGTTTTTAGAAATAACTGTGTTGCGTTCTAGTATTCCCGTTATGCTCTTGTAGCCAAAGATTGCTATAATTTGGTTTCGTTGGCTGCGAATTGCTATCAAAAGTAAACGTGTGTTGGTGGAATTCCTCACATTTTTTTTTAGGAATTGTTGATTTGTAATTTTCGTAGCACAACGTATTCCAAAGCATTTCGGAATATGTGTTGAATATACCGCGTATTGTTTGTAGTTGGAGCTATAAATAACCTACTTCAGAGGAAAGTTGGGTATTGCCGTTTACGTTAAGTTCACTTTTATTTTCATGCAGAGTGAAGAGGACCTAGTAAGATGATATATATTTCAACAATGGCACATCATGTAACTTAATTGCTGCAATGGATATTGAATGTGGGAGTTTTACATTCGTTTCCAATTTTGATTCAGGCAATTTGGCCCGTGTTGAGTTGGTCCCTAGGAAACAGAATGGTAAGATGTTTTACATAATGTGATTAATGTGCAAGGTGCAATTGATGTCCGAAAGCTGTTTTTTATATATCAGTGCTTCATTCTGGTTAGACTGGATGAATAAGTTTTAGAATTAGAATTGATTGGTCCCACCTGCTGTAACAATTAGTAACTCTGCACTTTGTATTTATGTGTTTTGTATGATTTTCACTGTAAAGAGGAATTATTTTTTTAAACAGCATTGATTAGTTGATCTTTGTAATGGTAAATAGTTGTTTTCTTTGTAGTATGGACTGCATTCTTAACTATTGCTCAGGCAAATTTTGGCTTACTGAGTTAATAAACTATTTGTCCATTTTTTCTTTTCAGCAA